TCAATAATGTCAGGAGTTTCAGGGACATGTAGAGATAGCCATGGAATTTAGAAGAGACTAAAAGGTAGCCTTCTGGGATCCACTCCCAGTTTTATCACTGACTCATGGAGTGACTTTATTACTCCCACTAGAGGCCTGGTGCACAAAATTTGTGTGTGTGTGGGGGGGGATAAGAGTTGGGAGGGAATCATCCCTCAGCCGAGCCTGCACCCTTTCCAATCTGGGACATCCTTCTCACAATCCAGGACTGCTGCCTCCCAACCATTCACCTGCCTGCCTGCCTGATTGTCCCTAATCACTTCTGCCTGCCAACCTGATCAAACCACTTCCCCAAACCACTCCCCTGCCAATCTAATTGATGCCTAACTGCTCCTCTGCCTGCCCTATTGGCCCTAATTGCCCTTTCCTGCTGACCTGGTCACCCCTAAATGCCCTCCCCTGCTGGCCTGGTCACTCCCAACTGCCCTTCCCTGCTGGCCATCTTGTTCCACATGGGGATGGCTATCTTTGACCACATGGGGCAGCCATCTTGTGTGTTGGAGTGATGGTCAATTTGCATATTACCTCTTTATTAGATTATTAGATAGGATGGTTTATTAGGGTGAGTTTATGAAGGTGATACAACACTTGAGATTGGGAGGTCAATCCAGCACCTCTCCTTGCTTAGTATCTAAATTAAATGTAAACTTTCTTAGGACACAAGTAATGAGAAAGGCAGACAGGCAGCATATAAAAAACTTAAGAGAAACAGGTTGGAAATTTTTATAAATTTCCCTCTTCAATTTTTAAAATTTATTGAGGTGAAAATTAATTTTTATATTATATGACTTTCACTTCAATAAATTTAAAAGTGAACAATTCAGCTGAAACCAGTTTGGCTCAATGGATAGAGTGTCAGCTTGGGGACTGAAAGGTCCTGGGTTCGATTCTGGTCAAGGGCATGTACCTTGGTTGTGGGCATATCTCCAAAAGGGGGTGTGCAAGAGGCAGCTGATAGATGGCTCTCATTGATGTTTCTAACTCTATCTCTCTCCCCTCCTCTCTGTACAAATCAATAAAATGTATATTAAAAACAAACAAAAACACCTTCTTTAAAAAAAATAAAATAAAAGTGAACAATTCAGTGATGTTTAGTAGATTCACAATGCTGTACAACCACCCCCTCTACCTGGTTCCAAAACATTCCCAATCCTCTAGAGCAGTGGTGGGCAAACTCATTAGTCAACAGAGCCAAATATCAACAGTACAATGATTAGAATTTCTTTTGAGAGCCGAATTTTTAAAACTTAAACTTCTTCTAACACCACTTCTTCAAAACAGACTTGCCCAGGCCATGGTATTTTGTGGAAGAGCCACACTCAAGGGGCCAAAGAGCTGTATGTGGTACAAGAGCCACAGTTTGCCGATTACTGCTCTAGAGTAAATCCCATGCCCAGTAGCAATCACTCTCTGGTCCCTGGCAACCACCAATCTTCATTCTGCATCTATGGCTTTATCTATTCTGGATATTTTGTGTAAGTGGAATCATAAAATAGTGATTCCATTCTCTGTCTGCTTCTTTCACTTATCATAATGTGGTTTTTTTTAGTTTTGTCCATGTAGTAGCATGTATGACTATTTTACTTCTTTTTATGGCTGAGTAACATTCCATTCTCTGTACATACTACACATTGGAGAGCTGACCAGCAGTATTCATCTGTTAATGGAAATTTTGGCTGTTTCTCTCTTTGTGCTCCCTTTTGAAAAATTCTATGCCTCCCGCCCTGCCTCATATACACTCCAGGTGTTAATTATAATATAACATCCTAGAACCCTTATTCCAACCCTAAGCAGTATTGTTCTTTTTCATTTTGTGTGTGTGTGATTTAAAAATTATCTCTAGCACAAGTTCAAATAAGAAGCTCAAATTCTCTATTGCAGATCAGGAAACAGATACAGTAGCAATTTTGACACTGAAAAAAGATACAGTATCTGACAGTTTTATTGGTAGCTCTGTATCTCAACAACCTGACATTAAAATCTCTGAGCTCTTCTCTCAACATCGAGGGGGAAGGAGTCAAGTGATAGAAGGATTCCATATGCACAGTGTTATATGTTTTCATGGGACAGAGCATAAGTAGCAAATAGCAGAATCCATTGGTTCTAAAATCAGCATTTATATTCCATGAGGATGAAATAAAAGAGATCATTAAGAAAGATATCTAGACCACCCTAAAGTGGCTGAAGGCCAGCAAGATTTAAAACAGTGATTTTCAAAGTGAGTTCCAGTGCCTGCCACACCAGCAGCAGGGTCACCCGGAACCTGTTAAAAATGTATATTCTCAGCCCCCATCCCAAACTGACTGAATCAGAAAACTAGGGGGTGGAGCCCAGTCAAAACTGTTGTAGCAATTTCTCCAGATGATTTGATGCAGCTAACATTTGAGAACACTGATTTAAAATGAGTGTGTTGCTCTTGATTTGATACCTGGGTTCTTAAAGTAATGATGTGTGATGCATATGCCGGTTTGGCTCAGTGGATAAAGCGTCCGTCTGCGGACTGAAAGGTCCCAGGTTCGATTCCGCTTAAGAAGGGCATGTACATTGGTTGCGGGCAGATCCCCAGAAGGGGGTGTGCAGGAGGCAGCTGGTCGATGTTTCTCTCTCATCGATTTTGCACAGAGAGGAAGGGAGATATCTAGACCACACTATTGTGTGTATGTGTGTACTGGGTAATGATGCAAATGTACTTTTTTTTAAGTTAAATTTATTAAGGTGTACCTTGGTTGCAGGCATATTCCCAGTAGGAGGTGTGCAGGAGGCAGCTTGTCGATGTTTCTTTCTCATCGACGTTTCTAGCTCTCTATCTCTCTTCCTTCCTCTCTGTGCAAAATCAATATACACTCCAGGTGTTAATTATAATATAACATCCTAATTATAATATAACATAAATATAATATACACTCCAAAATGAAAAAGAACAATACTGCTTAGGGTTGGAATAAGGGTTCTAGGATGTTATATTATAATTAACACCTGGAGTGTATATTATATTTATGTTATATTATAATTAGGATGTTATATTATAATTAACACCTGGAGTGTATATTGATTTTGCACAGAGAGGAAGGGAGAGAGATAGAGAGCTAGAAACGTCGATGAAAGAGAAACATCGACCAGCTGCCTCCTGCACACCCCCTATTGGGAATATGCCTGCAACCAAGGTACATGCCCTTGACCGGAATCGAACCCGGGTCCCTTCAGTCCCCAAGCCGACGCTCTATCCATTGAGCTAAACTGGTCCCGGCAATAAAATATATTAAAAAAAAATAAAATAAAATAAAGTAATGATGTGTGATATTTATTCTACTAAAAGACATTCTTTTTATCAGAAGTATTTAAAAAGTGGGCCTATAGAACTTGCCAAAATGATTAATTGTGTTGATTTCTTGTTATCCAGGACTAAAGTGTTTTCATGAAGATTTTTGGAAAAGCAACTGTAATCTACACATTGTGAGAAGGAAAGGAGCCAAATAATTTATTTAGTTTGTATTTATTTATTTATTTAGGAGCCAAATAATTTAATGGGGCTAGAAAGGGCTTTTCAGCTGGGACAGCTGCCATTTGGAGAGCTGACCAGCAGTATTTGCATATTAATTATGACCATTATGTCACTGGTCCAGCATTTGTGGGAAGAGAAAGAAGTTCAGAGGTACATATTTTGGGCCAGAGAAAGGAACTTGTTATTGTTCCATGTAAAAAAATAAAAATAAAAATTATAGCAGGACTTTGTTTTGGCTTTTGTTTGTTTTTGTTTAATGTATTGTTTTATTTTTTATTAATATTTAGAGAGAGTGGAAGAGAGAAGGAAAGAGAAACATCTATGTGAGAGCAAACCATTGACTGGCTGCCTCCTGCATGCTTCCTACCAGGGATTCAGCTGCAACCCAGGCGTGTGCCCTGACTGGGAATGGAATTGGCAACCCTTTGGTGCACAGGAAGATGCCCAGCCAATTGAGCTATACCAGCCAAGGCAATGTGTTTATTTTAAAAGATGTTTTTATAAGTAACATTTTGGAGAAATTTAGGAAAATATCAAAAAAGGGTAGAGGGTCTCAAACACATGATGATGGAAGGAAATTTGACTTTGGGTGAAAAACACACAATGCAATATACAGATGATATGTCATAAATTGTACATTTGAAAGCTATGTGATTTTATTAACCAATGTCACCTTAATAAATTTAACTTTAAAAAAAGTACATTTGCATCATTACCCAGTACACACATACACACAATTCTGAAACAGAAGTTTCACTAAACAATACCTCCCACCTCCTCATGCAATGCATTTTGATATATTTCTCTTTCATTCAATTCCATTTCATTATTTTAAAAAGCTGGTCACCCCTCAGCCAGCATGGCTCAGTGGTTGAACATTGACCTATGAACCCAGAGGTCATGGTTTGATTCCAAGTCAAGGGCGTATGCCCGGATTGCAGGCTCCATCCCCAGTGTGGGGTGTGCAAGAGGCAGCTAATCAATGATTATCATCATTGATAGTTCTCTCTCTCTCCCTCTGCCTTCTTCTCTGAAAGCAATACAAAAAAATTTAAAAATACAAATACAAATAAAAATCTGGTCACTCACTAAGGTGCTTCTATTGCCCACTAATTGGTTATGATTTTCAACTTGAAAAAAAACAGGTCTATACTATTTATTATTTTTTTCTTTAAACATATTTTTATTGATTTCAGAGAGGAAGGGAGAGGGAGAGAAACACACACACACACACACACACACACACACACACACACACACACACACAAACACCGGTGTTGAGAGAGAATCATTGATTGATTGCCTTCTGCACACCCTACCCTGGGGATGGATCCTGCAATCCAGGACTGTACCCTGACTGGAAATTGAACCGTGACCTCCTGGTTTGTAAGTCGACTCCCAACCACTGAACCATGCTGGCCAGGTTATAATATTCTTTTTAAAACACTGGGAGTTAAGTAGAGTTTTGTGTGCTGGCCTGGGACTCTAACCATCATTAACAACCTTGTCCCACTGCAAACATGTATTCTTATTTTTAAACAACTGGATTAGAATCCAATTTGGGGAACTCAATCTATCTGTAAGCTGGGGACTGCTAAAGTCTAAACCAGGAACATTTTTACATTAGGAGTTCATTTAGGCGAAAACAAGGAAAAGCTGACCGCCTTCCAGAAGTCTTCCAGCAGTAATTCTAATGAACTCATCTGCTTGGAAACAGCTTATCAGGAAGTAGTCAACCTTAGCATTTATGCAACTTCTTCCTCCTTTGAAAAAGCACTTAATTTGAATTTCCTAAGACAGCACAGAGGCAATTCATTTCCCCCTGAACACATGGATTGGAAGTTAATGTATTTGCTAAAAAAAAAAAAAAAATATTATCCTGTAGTGGCCTGAAGGGTTTTATGAGATCTACCGGGTTTGCTCCTATGGTTCCAGTTCTACCTTAGGCAAAACCTTTTCCATCCTGACTAGTCCTACTGGAGAGAACAAGTCAGGCAGTTTGGGAAATATTCCCCCATCACCCAAGCTTCTTCAAAGCTGCATTTAGGAACTTGCAGAATATCATTAAAAATAACAGAGACTGGCCTTATATTTAGGTGCTCTGTTAAAAGCCTTTTTACTCTCTTTTATGTACATTTGAACAATAATCTAATCCAATGAACTCTAAACCATATGTGTATCAGTAGTTAAACTGGGGCCTCTTATAGAGGCAAGAAATTAATTGTTTTATGAAATTATTTCAGAAAGCATTGAGGTTTGAAAGTACATGAGTGTATCTCACTGATTTTCATCACTTTTAAAGTATATTCTATTATCATTTACTGTTTTCTTTTTTTTAATATATATTTCATTGATTTTTTACAGAGAGGAAGGGAGAGGGATAGAGAGCTAGAAACATAGATGAAAGAGGAACATCGACCAGCTGCCTTCTGCACATCCCCCACTGGGAATGTCCCTGCAACCAATGCACATGCCCTTGACCAGAATCGAACCTGGGACCTTTCAGTCCACAGACCGACGCTCTATTCACTGAGCCAAACCGGTTTCGGCTATCATTTACTGTTTTCTACCTCTCAAAAATAAAAGCTAGATAGCCTTTCAAGATAGTACACAGCTAAATGGTGCAGACTCCTGCTTCCAGACCAGCTGATGGATATTCCAGGAGGCTCCAAGCAAAGCCCAAGGCCTCTCCTCAAGGAGTCATATGTCCAAATGTACCCAAACTATGTTTATCCTATGTCTTCTGTCCGGAACCCCTTTGTGAGAGGGCAGTAAATGTCCTATATGGGACATGGGTGGTAGAAAGAAAAGGTTTCAGGCATCTGAAATCTCCCTTATTACATCATCAGTCCATTAGCCTTTCAGGCTGTGATCTTGAGCAAGTTTCTTAATCTCCTAGGTAACCTCCAGTTTCCTCATCTACAAAGTGGAAATCATTGTACCCACCCATGATGGGGACCAAGACAGATCATTTAGCTGATATGTGAGAAGTACTTAGTATAGTGTCAGGCACATGGCAAGCTGCTCAAAAAGTATTACTTCTTTTCCTTTTCTTTATTTTTCTAGAGTCTCATTTTAAAAGAAAAAATTCAAAAACTATACTGTTATAGCTTCCAGTTCAACATGAGCACTGAGCACTGGTATTTGCTCTCTCTCCCTTGCTCTGCCCCTCTCACCCACCACCCCTGACAGCACCAGGACAGCGAAGAGAGCAGGAGCAGGACAACCAGCGGGCACAGTGGAGGAAAGATCAGCTCTGACTGACTACAGCCTCGCCAGGCTACAGGACCAAAAAAGGGAAACAAGCAAATTTGGACTTTAAGGAAAGAGCTCTTCAAAGAAGTCATGATCTTGGACAAGCCCAAAGAGACAATAATCCTAGTACATGACATAAAAATAGCTGCTTGATTTTTAAACTTTAAGAATTCACTCCTGGAAAATTTCAATATAATTATAGAAAAAAATGTTATGTTATCAATCTTGACTTGAGGTTGTATATACATTAAGAGTGAGTGTTTTGTAGCTAGACTGCCTGGATTTAAATCCCAGCAGCTGGATCTTATCCAGATGACTGTTAAACCAAGACTAGAGGGAGTGTGACGTGTGCAGACCCAGAGGAATGCATCCCAGGCAGTGGTAACGGCAAGGAAACTGAGGCAGGACAAGCCAGGTGTGTTTGAGGAACAGGTCTGCCCCTCAATCAAGTAGAGTAATGTGATATAAGGTCAGAGGGCATGCAGTTGTGGCCATAAAATAATAATAATATCAAAATTCAACAGGGATAAATGAATAGACAATGGTTTTGATAAGTCATGAAGTAGCATAGTATTTAAAGGTGTTCATGTGGCTACCAGAAGAAGGAAAGAGAACTGCTCGAAGTGGCTGACTCTAAGAAACTGGCCTGGAGGTAATGGCACACTCTATTATTAAATCTTCCATACAGAAACAAAAAGCCCGTGTGCAAGAAGGAAAAGAGAACATGTGCATTTAATTGTACTTTGATAAAAGGGAAATAAAATGAAAAACTCTCCAAGTGGAAAAATAATGTATTTGACTGCCACAAGAGAGATCATAATAATATTTGCATGATTTTACACCCCTGAAGTAATTCAATAGTAAGTATGTCCCAAGTGGACTCTTCTTACCTTTGAGATTTTGCATTTCCCTGAAAAAGCCTTTTCATGCTCCTGCTCTTTGCTTGGGGAATGGGTTATACAAATTAATTAACGCTTCTAACTCCATGATTGCCAAGGTTTCTGTCCTAAAATAGTTGGATTCTCCAGTCTCCCAGAAGCCACAGATTGGAGACAGTGCTGCAGACCAGACATCCACAAAGAAGGGGATAAAGAGGAGCAACTTAAGAGCGAAGGACTGAGAAGACAGGTCTTTGGACCCACGATGCTTGTGAGACCAGAAGAAGGAGAGCAGTATCTCTGATTAGCTGGGAGTCATCTTTACACAAATCTGGGACACTTATGAAATCATGAATGCTTCCAGAGGCTGCTTGTCACATGTGTCACTATCATTCTTTGATAGAATACACAAAAAGCAGATGAGTTAATATGCTAGCAATTAATCAGAAGCTTGCTTTCAAGTTAACTAGGACCTAAGCTAGATTTTCCTTCTTTGATTCAAATCTGAAGAAGTATTTGCCCAACAAGCAAGGGAAAGATAAACACAATAGTCAGAGTTGTACTAATTAATGAAGATCAGATGGAGATCTGGTTAGAGCAGGAGAAGTAGGTTGATGCAATGATGTTGTCAATGTTCCAGTTCTTAAGTGGTGGATTCATAGGAGTTTTTATTATTATGCTTCATTATTTACATATACAATATTTTTGTATGTGTCAGATATTACTAGTACTTAAAAAAACATTTCTTGATTTTTAGAAAGAGAGGAAGGGAGAGGGAGAGAGAGAGAAGCATAAACATGAGAGCAAAACATCGATTAGCTGCCTCCTACATGCCCCTTACCAGAGATTGTGCCCACAACCCAGGCATATGTCCTGATAAGAAATTGAAATGGCAACCTTTTGGTGCACAGGACAACACTCAATTAACTGATCTACACTGGCCAGGGCACTAATGCATTTTTTAAAGAAAAAAGTATAAGTTGCCTGAGAGATATCTACTGCATTATCTTACAACATTACTCCATTTCTTAATAACACCAAGTTATATATTCATTTTTTTACCCATTTGTCAAATTCTACCACATTTTAGTGCTCCAAGAAATCCTGTGTAGAACTATAATATAAATTCTAATGTTCCCAGAAATAAAGTAACCCTAAACAAACAAGAAAGCCTATATATAATAAATTATAGTGGAAGAATGGGAATTAGAATCAAAGCAACTCAAGTTTAATCTTGTGGCCTCTAAAACTCTCAAGTTTCAGTTGTTGATTTTCATTTTACAGCTACTTCTTTCCTCATTTCAGTTGATCACATGCATTGCCTTATAATGTTCCACAGAGAGGCACCATCATCCTATAGCTCTAGTTTGGAGAGTGGTATGTACTGTGGTCAGAACTGATCTCACAGAAACAATCATTTCAGACACAAAGTATGCTGTAACTCCTTTTCCATGACAATGGTACTTGTTCCCATGCAAACCCCTAGATCCAGGACCTCAGCATGGGTGGCCCCCGGACCTCAGTTTACCTTGCTAGGACAGTTCGATGTGGATGCTTAGGCTGACTGACATTCAAAGATATGACTTGAGTGTTCAGAAGATCGTCAGTGAGAGAAGTTTTGCTAAGTCTAGATGGTGACTTGCACGAATAAGTCTATAGTACAATAAAATATGCATTGAAACTCAGGTGGCCACAGTCATTGCAGGCTGACTCCAGAGTTAAACATCAACAATTGCTCCCAACCTGAGTCCATTTCTCCCCTTCAATCTGAGTTGACCCTCTAATTTGCCTTAACCTACAGAATACAGTGGGATTCAAGTAGTGATATAATAGCTATGAGCCTTACCCAGGTGTCGGCAACCTGCGGCTCCAGAGCCGCATGCGGCTCTTTTGAAGCTTTACCGCGGCTCCAGCTCTGACAACTTGCAAGCCTGTGTGAAAATGAAGGTAACGTCTTACAGCCCTGATGTGCAGACACTGTGCACTGAGGTTCAGGAGCAAAAACCCCATTAACCAGGTAAATTAAATATTTTAATTAGCTATTAATTTGCAAAAAATATATTTTACATTGTTAAGTGAAAAAGTCCTTTTTTTCTTCATATTGACAGCTAACTGCATGATCTGGTATATAGCATTAAGGTAAGAAACAATATATGCAGTGTTATATTTGTTTTAAATTGTCGCAATGGTTTTGCGGCTCCCAGGTTTTTTTTTCCTTCGGAAAAGGGTCCAAGTGGCTCTTTATGTCTTAAAGGTTGCAGACCCCTGGTAACCCATAGATGTCTGGTAGCTTCTGCTTTTACTGTCTCAAAACCTTGAGCCTACAGAAAGAGTCCCAG